TTCACAAAACTAGTAAGTAATGGATCCTAGCCATTAGGCACTGTGAGGACAAGATCTGCTTTTTGTCATATTCTGCACTGAATCCCCAGTATCTGGGTTGAAACCGGACACACAGTAGGAGTTTAGTGAATGTGTGAATGAACAATAAACAGAGCTAGAATATACACCCAAGGAAATGTGATCCCAAGTCCCTTTCCACTTACATTAAATGATACAAAACACAAAAATCTCTGAGAACAAAGCTCAGTAAAGTTGGGTGACCTGGCTGGATTTGGCTAACAGAGATTGGATGACTGATCTTTGCTAACCTTTTTGCAGGCATGCAGGAGGAAGAATGAAGTGACCTAAAGCCACCGAATTTTTTACTTCAGCATTAGCTACTGCAGAGAGATAGTAGGCATGAAAAACTGTAGCATTATCTTCTATGTAATCAAGGCTCTGATATATCCTAGGAGAAAGAAAGGGAGATATTTTAGGTTATAAAATAAAGAAGAATTGGGGCGCCTGGGTGGCTCAGTCGGTTAAGCGGCCGACCTCAGCTCAGGTCACGATCTCACGGTCCGTGAGTTCGAGCCCCGTGTCGGGCTCTGGGCTGATGGCTCAGAGCCTGGAGCCTGCTTCCGATTCTGTGTCTCTCTCTCTCTCTGCCCCTCCCCCGTTCATGCTCTGTCTCTCTCTGTCTCAAAAATAAATAAAAAGCGTTAAAAAAAATTAAAAAAAAAAAAAGAAGAATGTATTCAACCTTTCAAAAGAAGGAATAAATGAGTGAAAGTAGGGATAATTAGGTGTGGGCAATTAGGACACTGGGGAATAAGAGAGTGGGGTGGGGGGCAGCCAGGGTGGTGACCAGACTTCTGCTTTGTAAACATAATGGAACAGCAATGTGAAGGGGGGTCGTGGGTGGGCAGATTGGAGCAACCGGTCTGAAAGCTACTGTTACATTCCGTGCCAGAGGTAATGAGGGCGTGTGCGAAGGTGGCTGCAGTGAGTACGAAGAACTTTTACAGGGTACGTGACCACAGGGTACGTGTTTGGCCACTGACCGATTAATGGGGTGGAGTTGTTATTTCCAAGAAACTCCTATGGTTTTCAGTTTGAGAGCACAGGACTTGGTGCAGGTGTGAGGGGACAATCAGGAGATTTGGTTTAAACATATTGAATGTGATGGGCCTTCAAGGCACCACGTAAACTTGTGGGAGAGACAGCTGGAAACGTAACCCTGGAACTTGGGCGGACTCGTGAACCAAGTAGGAGGCCATGTCGCTGTGTCGGAAAGAAGAGAAAGGTCATTTATATCCCTCCCCACTTCCCGTCTAGGGCTGAAAACTTGCTCATTTCCAGTCTATTCCTGTGATCGATATTTATTAGGGGCCTGCAACTTCCAATGCCAGCTGCTGACTCATCGTGACCCAACAGGCACTGCCAGGTGGCCTTCAGGTACCTCAGCGTGTCTGGGTGGGAGGCATCACAGCTGAACAGGAAGTCGGCGGCCCTCGGGTCGCTGATGGAGCCCCCTTCGGCCACTGTGGAGGTAAGAGCACAAGGTGAGCCTAGCAACTACCCTGGGACCAAAGCACCAGAGCGAGAAGGGATGCTCAGTTCACCACCTCACCCACCCCTTCCGCCCAGCTGCCTACCCCAGAACTGCCTCAGTTCTCCGCCGACGCTGCGGCAGAACCAACCCCGCTGCCCCTGAAACATGGCGTCCGGCTGCTTTCGGGGATGTGGGGGCGGGGCCTACCGGGAATCGCTGATTGGTCCGAGGTACAAAGCCACGCTCAATGATTGGTTCTCAGAGTAACGGGCGGGAAAAGCCTGCGGCAAGAAGGTGAGGCGTCCGGCTGGCACTGCTGGAGAGCTGACCGGCTCTGGGGCTGTGGAGAGACCTTTCAGCTTTCCCCTGACATTGCGGAGAGCGCCTAGTCACGTTGGTGAGTTTTAAACCCTCAGTGTTCAAGTTATTGTGCTATTGTTACAGGCATGGGCACAGGTTCTGTGGCATCAAGCATTATTTTGCAGCAAAACTCATTGTATCATTTCATTTATAAGTGTTTCAGTTACAATATCTAAAGATAAGGAGTTTCAGAAAAGCAAAACCACAATACCATTATCACACTTAAAAATACTAATTCTTTAATGTTGTCAAATTTCACCGGTGCCGAAATTTCCGGTTTTTTCAAAATTATGTTTTTCTTTTACAGTTTCCACCACCACCACACTTCGCTTCCTTGCATCACTTTTGATAAAGTCTATTTTCCTGGTGTTGGGTCCATTAAATCTAAACTCTCAAAAATACTGATATAAAGCCTATAAAACATTTTACTATCTTTTTTAATGCCTGCAGGTTCTGTAACAATGGTTCCTTATTCATTTCTGTTATTAGCTATTTGTGCCTTTTTATTTCTTAGTCTCACCAGAAGTTTGTCAATTTTATTAGCCTTTTCAAAGAACAAATTTGTGGCTCTTTGTTGATACTCTTTTATGTGTTTCTTCTCTATGCCATTAATTTCTGTTTTTATAATTTCTTTGGTTTTAAATTGCTGTTCTATTAATTTTTTGAAAGAGGAGTGATTTTCATTCTTTTATTTCCTAATATGTGCAGATAAGGCTATAAATTTCCTTGAAACTGTGTGCCGTGCCACAGTTTTCAAGATGTCATTTTTTATTGTTCAATTAAACATATTTTCAGCCTTCTAATAAGTTATCTGATCCGTGGGTTATTTAAAATACTTTAAAGTTTCCAAACACGTGATTATTTATTTAGTTAGCTATTGTTAATGATTTCTGGTTTAAATGCATTAAGATAAAAGAATATGGCCTATATGCTTATAATCCTTGAAATTTGTTGAAATTTCCCTTATGATTGAAGTGTATGGTCAGTGTTATGTTTGTGTTTGCAAAGAATATTCTATCTGAGTGTTGGGTACAGCATTCTGCATATGTTCATTGGGTCAAGTTTATTCATCATATTGTCACATTTTTCTGCCAACTACTAAATGGAGCATATTAAAATCTCCTTTGTGGATTTATGGATTTCTTGTTAATTTTTTCTTTATATATATTGAAATCATGGTGTTAGGCGCATGGTAATGTTTACTTGGTACTTTCTAGTTGACTGAACTATTAAGCACTTAAATAGGAAAGGCAAAACTTTTTAAAACATATGAATAAAACAGGGGAGAATACCTCTTGGTCCTCTGAGTAGAGAATGATTTTTTAACAGATGCAAGTATTAACCATTAGAAGGTATTTGCAGTATGATTGCGGTGGCTGGGTGGCCTAGTCAGTTAAGCATCTGGCTTCAGCTCAGGTCACAATCTCGTGGTTTGTGAGTTCGAACCTCGCGTCGGGCTCTGTGCTGACAGCTCAGAGCCTGCAGCCTGCTTCGGATTCTGTGTCTCCCTCTCTCTGCCCCTCCTCAACTCGTGCTCTGTCTCTCTCTCTCAAAAATAAATAAACATTAAAAAAATTACAACAAATAAAAAGAAAATATTTGCAGTATGAATAACCAACAAAGGATGGGTATCTAGAACACAAACATAACCCTATGAATCAATAAGAGACAAACAGCACAATGGAAAATATGGGCAAACACCTGAAGAGACATTTCATAGAAGAAAATTAAGTGGCCAGTAAACTTAGAAAAATATTCTCAACCACGGGGATAATTAGGGAAATGCAAACTAAAACTACAGGATACCATTATGTACCCACTTTACTAATAAAAATTGAGTTAGCAAAGACATATAGTAATGGGAACTCCCACTTGGAGTGGGAATGTAAATTGGCAGTCACTTTGACCAACAATTCAGCACTCCTTACTTGAAGATGTGCATACCCTATGTTAGCATTTATTAGATATATACCTTGAGAAACTCTTGTTGCTGTTTACCCTTATACTTTGTACAATGTTTATGGCGACATTGTTACTAAAGTAACAGCAACAACCAAAAACAAAACTAGAAACAACCACTTATTTATCAATAGTAGCTAGGGTATTTAAACTGTTGTAGTTTCATAAAATGGAATACAACATAATTTTGAATTTTGAAAAACATAAGGAATACATACAACATGATTCCATTCATTTAAAGTACAAAAAACAGGCATAATGAAACTTCCTTTTTAGGGATACATATATATGTAGTATATAGAAAGAACTAAATAGTACATTTGTTGAAAATATAGCTATGAATTATTTTCAAAAAGTAAAAAACCAGATACAAAATGTAGGATAATGATTACCCCAGAGCCAAGAGAGGCACACAGGGGGCCTTAAAAGGTTTTGATGGTATTCTATTTCCAAAACTAGATGGTCAATTAGTGGGAGGTTTTTTTTTTTATTATTCTCTAAATTACACATATGTTATATACACTCTCTTGTGTGTATTTTATAATTTAATTTTTAAAAATAATCAAGAAAGTAAGTCAACTTAGGAGGATTTTTTTTTTTTTAACGTTTATTCATTTTTGAGACAGAGAGAGACAGAACATGAACGGGAGAGGGTCAGAGAGAGGGAGACACAGAATCTGAAACAGGCTCCAGGCTCTGAGCTGTCAGCACAGAGCCCGACGCAGGGCTCGAACTCACGGACCGCGAGATCATGACCCGAGCCGAAGTTGGCCGCTTAACCAACTGAGCCACCCAGGCGCCCCAGGAGGATTTATCTAAAGTAGTTAAACAGATACTTGGCATTAAGTAAACACATTTACTCATCTGAAAAATAAGTTTGTCCAGAGCATCTTTTCCTTGGAAATACTTGGTAATCCAGTATTACTAACTTTTTCTTCTCCTGTAGCATAGCTACATTATACAACTGTACAATGATATCACCACTGTTATTTTAAAAGTCAGTTAGTCACAGAAAAGTGCAAGGTGTTCTCCTTTTAAGGTTCTCACCTCAGTGAATCCTAACATACTGACTTTACCTTCTACTTTACCTTCTACTTCATATTTTGTTACTAGCAGTCTCATTTGTAGCCTGGGATAAAACAATATAGCCCTAATCACACTTCTCAGTGAGTAACATTCAGAATCTCTTTCTAGCAGGGAAGTCTCATATTGGTGTTTTATGATTCATACTCATAGAAGGTTTTAATTATAATCTGAGTTCTACATAGAAGGATTGTTCAAATTATTCAGTACAGAATGACCAATTATCTGGGGAAACTGGGAAAATAAATTTGTGTCATCTATGTTAAGATAAATGCTGGAGAGGTGAGGTAGCATGTTAGAAAAAGTATTAAAGTGAATACTTACAGATAGTGGAAAATATGTATACACCTGTGGTCTATCCTTTGAAAAAAAATATTCATTTTTTTCTTTCTCTTTTTTAAAAAACAGCTTTATTTTATTGTGGTATAATATACATTCCATAAAATCTGCCCATTATTAGTGTACTGTTCACTAATTTCTAGTATATATATATAACTATGCCACCATCACCACAAAAAAAACATTTTTAAGAAATATATTTTCCAAATTCAGATTAGAATTTTAATTCATTCCTAGTCATCTTTTATTATCTCCAACGTAAGTGTAACTTGTCTTAAGAATTTTCTCCTTCTATTTTGGTAAATATTGACCTTCCCTTTCTCCGAATTCTATAGTACTTGTCTATCCCCAAGGACAGACTTCAGATACCAATGATCTAGAACTCTATATATGACTTAATGGATAGGAGCTAGGCCCCATTTTATCCCCAAACTCTTTGTCATACTAATTGAAATTCTCTACCACTGTGTCTAAAATCAAAACTTTACTTCTTGGGCACCTGGGTAGCCCAGTCAGTTAAGCATCAGACTCTTGATTTCAGCTCAGGTCATGATCTCATGGTTTGTGAGTTGGAACCCTAAGTCAGGCTCTGTTCTGACAGCATGGAGCCTGTTTGGGATTCTCCCTCCCTCCCTTCCTCTCTAAATAAATAAATAAATAAATAAATAAATAAATAAATAAAAACATTTAAAAAAAGAATTACTTTTTTTTTTTTTTATAAAAAATTTTTTTTTTCAACGTTTATTTATTTTTGGGACAGGGAGAGACAGAGCATGAACGGGGGAGGGTCAGAGAGAGAGGGAGACACAGAATCGGAAACAGGCTCCAGGCTCTGAGCCATCAGCCCAGAGCCTGACGCGGGGCTCGAACTCACGGACCGCAAGATCGTGACCTGGCTGAAGTCGGACGCTTAACCGACTGCGCCACCCAGGCGCCCCAAGAATTACTTTTTAAAAAAGGAAATATTTACTTCTTGAACATGGACTATATATTAGCTAGTAAGTAGTACCAGGTCAATGTTAAATTTTCTGAATATGATAATTTAGTTCTGTGTTTATGTAAAAGAGTACCTTGGGGGCACCTGGTTGTCTTAGTTAGAGTATGTGACTCTTGGTCTCGGGATTGTGAGTTCAAGCCCCACATTGGGCAAAGAGCTTAGTTTAAAAAAAAAAAAAAAAGAGAGTGTCTTGGTTTGTAGGAGATACTTGCTGAAGTATTTAGGAATAAGAGTCCTAATGCCTGTAACTTAATCTGAAGTTGCTCAGCAATAATAACATTAGCCATACTATACACTATACACCCAAAATCATATGGGATGGATGTGAGGGAGAGTGAATAAGAAAATGTGGCAAAATACTAATAATTGATAAATCTGGGTGGAGAATATAGGAGAGTTTATCATACAAATGTGCAGTTTTTCTATAAGTTTGAATTTTTCTTTTTTTAAA